GGGGGGAGTCACGCGCGCTTTGGGGTCATAATTAGCGACATATTAGACGCATAGCGCCCTTAGATAAGAAAAGGGGTGAAGGGGGGGGGGCTCATTGTAAATCAGGGGTGTCCAGCAGCTGTGCGACTTAAATCGCACGACTTAGGTTTCTGTGAGACTTAAGACGCACTTTTGCAGGACACCTCGGGTTTTGGCACCCTTTTCCTGCAGAGGGACCCAGGCAAGGGGTGTCCAATAAGAGGGCGCCCTACCTTGGCTATGGGGCTGGACCTCTCTACGGGAAAGGGTGCCAAAACTCAAGGTGTCCTGCAAAAGTGCGACTTGAGTCGCACAGAAATCTGAGTCGTACGACTTGAGTTGCACAGCTGCTGGACACCCCAGATTTACAGTGGCTCTTGAACGCGCGCTAGGGGAGTTATGAGAAAATGAAAGACAAACTGGTTCCACCTTGACACTCATTTCATTGCTCCTGGCCGGACTACTACTGTGTGAGAGCCGGCGGCGGCCGCGCTATGGGCGCAGCAAGCAGCAGAACCAGCCGCGGAGAATAACAAACGAATTGGCGGGTACTTAAGGTGAGAGGGGAGGGGGGCACGGGCGGGGCATGGACCCCCCAGCAAGCAGAGCGCCGAGATGGGACGAGCTCGCGACGACGTGAGTACGGCGAGCCCCCGTGAAACTGCGCTCTGAGAGGGGCCGTGCGTATGGGCGGCACGCCCTGGCCTGGCACGCCCCCTCCCGCATGAGTACCCCGCGGGCCACCACACCACCGCCGGAGCGAACCGCCGCCCACTGCGAGACGTCGCAGTCATCCTATGGCTGCGCACAGAATTGCAATTTTCACAGCCCCGGAAATATTTTTTAAACACCCTCTTCAAGGTTTCTGGCAGCCGCCATACGGACATCTAAGTCGTGATACAAATATCCTTCAAACGGATGAAGACCAAAAGAAGAAAAAAAAACAAGGAATGGGAATACGTAGAGAGACGAGAACACTAAAATAATTACGAACGATATGCGCTGCTAGTCCTCACGATATAGGCTTCCGCGGCGGCGCCTCGCGTCACTCCGCCCGCCAAACCTGCACCAAGACGACACACGGCAATAACCCCGTATTATTATTTTTTTCGGCAATCATCGTGACACTTGGCACAATGGGCGCGATCGTGACATGCGGAGAGGCACAAACAACACAAACAATAAGGATGTGCGCGCGATACGGCGGGCCGGCTCGAGACAGTGCGGCAAATAAATAGTAGGGTGCGAGGGCCGTGCTGCCTGCGAGCTCAGCTCTCAGGGCGACTCAGTACCAGGTGCTGCTGCTGCGTGCTAAGCGCGTGAGGCACGACGCGACCTCTCGACAGTCCAGCCCCCGAGCCAGCCCCGCCCCGCCCCGCCACACCCCGCCACGCCACGCCCCGCACCGGCGTGACCGGCCGCACTCCGCCCGATTCCAGTCCAGTTGTCTGTCGGAGCGAAAGTTGACAGAATCAATGAACCATTCATTCGGTCGAGTTCCATCACTCCTTAGCGCGCGCTCACACGGAAGAGCTGGGGGAGGGAGGAGGGAAGGGGCCGACCGACATTCCCGGCGAAACTTTTTTGTTTTCATGAATGCATTGGCCCCCTTATCATCACTGTGTGTGTGAGCGAGTTGTTTTCTACCTTTGACATGCCGGTGCCGGGTGTGGTCCAGAGTGGTTTCCTCACGGTGAAATATCATGCGCCCCCTTAAACAAAGAGGCGGGCGGAGCTGCCGGATCGAGCGATTACCCAACGCCTCATCAGTCCCCTCCTCGCCTCGCCCCGAACCTCCGCACATTTAAGACGGACAACTCGGAAGGTCGAGAGAGTTTTGGGCTGACCCGAGCTCGCTGCTTATGTTCCTCCCTGCCTTTCCTGACATACCCGTGCCGCGAGGCCGGGACAGGGCTGCGGACGAGGAGGAGGGGGGGGGGGAGAGAACGGGGAGGAAAGAGTTTCCGAGGGGGGAAGGGAGTTTCCTGCCGGACATCGCCCAGGAGGCCCGGCTGCCCGCTCCGAAGCAGCACGCCTTTCGCAAGGCGCTGCACTGCAGCGGCTCGGGCAGCAGCGGCGGCAGCTCACATGCAACATGTATGTGTGGGCAGGTGGGGCGGGCAGCAGGGCGTGTCATTGTTCCGACAGAGCGCGCAGCGCACGCATGGCGGGGCCAAAGGCGTGTGACAGAGACAGGGGCAGAGACGACACGGGTGATCGACAGAGTCAACACGGGTGATCGGCAGAGACAGAGACGACACGGATGACCGACAAAGACGGAGACGACAAGGGTGACCGACAGAAGACGAGTTATGACCGGCTATGAGCGGCGAGCTAAATCCGTCGTCAAACGTCTCGGTCAACGTTTACAGCGGCTGAGCTGACGGCGTTGAGGAGCTCTCGTCCGCTGAGTCCACATTTCGCCATGCTGGTTACCCATATTGACCTTCCCGTGGCGCGCGGTGCGCGGGACTTTGCACCAGACGGAGGCGGCGCAGCAGCACTCGTTGTCGCTGTGTAACGCGTGCCCGCGCCTCGGAAAGCGGCCTTCGCACCTCCCAAAACACAAAACTTTACCTAACACGGGCGAATCCGGTTCGCGCCCCTTTTCTCGTCTCCTTATCTCTCATAGTGCAAACTTGTCTGTCTTGTGCAGGGGCATGGACGACATCGAGCTGGAGGAGGGGAGGACGGCGCCGACGACGGCGACCTCCAACGGACACAGCAACGGCGGCTACCGCGCCAGCACCCTGGGCAGGATACGGGACGAGCTGAGCACCGCCCTCCGCGTCGAGGCCACCACCGAGCTGAGCGCCGGCGCCAACGGCTGCACCCCCAACGGCGGGTCCAACGGCACGTCCAACGGCCCGAGCATCCCGCCCATCTGCGGCACGCGCGGGGCCGCCATCGTCATCAAGGACGCCAAGAAGAGCTACCCGCTGCAGAGCGGGATCGTCCTGGATGGGTTCAACATGACGGTGCCGGAGGGGACGATGTAAGTGTATGACAGCCGGCGCAGAAGTGTGCGGCGCTGCAGGGTGGGCCGGGCGCCTGGGGGGTAGGCCGCAGCGGTACACCGGTGGGTTGCGCGTAGACATGTGCGCCGCGCCGCCGTTGCGCCGCCGCCGACGAATTTCAGCGCGCCGCCGCCGCCGGCAAAAAATTGTCGGCGCGTTGCCGCGCCGCCGACGACCATTTCATCGGCGGCGGCGTCGGCGTAGAGGGTGTAAAGGGTCATTTTCGATTCTCAAACCCAACTTGGGGACGCCGGATGGGTAGGCAACCTGCTTAGCAGCTCAAAATTTTAAAGCAGTTAAACAATTTTAGTCGAATTTTGCGAAGAATCATTGGCACGAAATTCTGGTGAGCAAAAAGTCGTTAGGATATCTTATGAGAAGGCAAATCTGACCCCCGAAATCGTTAAAAGGTGCAATTTATTTGGGTTTACGCCGGTGACGCCGCCGCCGCCGCCGCCGACTACCACATCGGCGTGAACGCCGGCGGCGCCGCCGCCGTTGACCAAAATTTGGCCTCACGCCGCCGCCGACAAAGGTCTAGTCGGCGCACATGTCTAGTTGCGCGTCCTCGGGTTGCCTGCCCCGCAGGCGCTCGGCCCTCCCGCACGCACGCCGACTCGACGGCGTCGTCAAGGGACCGCCCAATTTGCGAACGGTAGCGATGATCCCTTTCAGACCGCAGACAGTCGGCGGCGGCTGGAGTCCGTCATTAGCAGGAAACGTCGTCGGCTCGGCAGTCGAAAAGTGCTTCCTTATTCGCAGCAGAGAGGCATCCATCGCCAGTCGCCGGCGCGGCGCACACTCGAGCCGTCGCTGCTGCTGCACCGCGTTCACTGGCCCGAGCGACCTTGAACGGTTCAACGCCGGCGACGGCGTCCTCCGGCCACGCCTTTGGAGCGCCCGCGCCGCGCCGCGAGGAGCAGCAGCGGCGGCGGCGGCAGCGGCGTCGGCGTGATGCAACGCGGCCATGCAACGACCCGCCCCGGGCCGGGCCGACGCGCCGCCGAACCCTGGGCAGCGCCGTCCAGTTCTCCAGGGCGCCGCTCCTCCCTACCCCCACCCCGCCGCGTCCGCGTAGCTAGCGTGACAGCTGCGTGTGAATTATGAGCAGCTGGGCGATTATCCCGCGGTTCACGGTGCGACTTTACGAGGAGACTGGCGGCCGAGCTCGCGCGGCCGCTCCACTTCAGATGGAGAGGGGCCGAAGGCTCAGCAGAGGGCCAGGCTCAGGCTCTGGCTCTCGTCAGCTGCTGCAGCCGCGCGCCTTCCCGGTCAGCGCCCTACCGGGCCTACCGGGCCCCGTGTCACTCTAGCCCGACGGGACGGGCCGATGGGGCGGGAGAGGAGTGGTTTGCCTTGGGCGCGGAGCCAGAGGGGGGCGGGGGAGTTGGGCGGGGCACCCGGGAGCAGAAACCCCAGTTCAAGTCCAGGATCACCTGATGCGCTCCAGGCAGCCACCTCCCGCCGGTGCACACGCGATTCACGTATCCAGAAACCAAAACCATGCTTCCCTCCCGGCCCAGAGTCTTCCGAGACCAAATAACTTCGCAGATCCAGGAGCTTCCTGGCTATCTTTCGGAGGATGTGATCGTCCAAAAGTCTTATGCACGCTTCACCTCCACAGATACAGCCTGCTGGGCGCGAGCGGGTGCGGCAAGACGACGGTGCTGAGCTGCGTGGTGGGCCGCCGCCGCCTCAACGCGGGCACCGTGCGAGTCCTGGGGCTGCCGCCCGGGACGCCGCGCTCGGGCATGCCAGGCCCCACCATCGGCTACATGCCGCAGGAGCTCTCCCTGTACGGCGGCTTCACCGTGGCCGAGACCCTCAAGTACTTCGGCTGGGTGGCGGGGCTGCCCAGCGACGTGGTCCGGGAGCGCACCACCAAGCTCCTAAGCTTCCTGGAGATACCCACCGAGGACAGGCTGGTGCGGGACTTGAGGTGAGTGTGCGAGGACGAGAGTGTGCTCACCGTCGTGAAGACAACACCCGGTTAACGTTAGGCCGTGTCCCTTCCAGCGGCGGGCAGCAGAGGAGGGTCTCGCTCGCAGTCACCCTGCTGCACAGGCCCCCCGTCGTCATCCTGGACGAGCCCACCGTCGGCGTGGACCCCGTGCTCCGCCAAAAGTGAGTAGCCGGCGGCGAGGAGAGTCGCAAACGCGTCATTTGGAACCGAACGACAAGGTAACACGGCGTTTCTGTTCTGCCTGTAGCATCTGGGACCTGCTCTTGCGGATGACCAGGGAAGGCAACACCACCGTGGTCATCACCACGCACTACATCGAGGAGGCGCGGCAGGCTGATACGGTGAGGACTCTTGAATACGCGTGGAGCAGCGCGTTAAAGTCTCCCAGGGCATGCAACCATTTTTCCGGGTCTCAAAAAAAAAGGAAAGAAAAAAAAGAGATGGGCGACCAAAACAGGTTCGCTGTTCCCGCGCACATTGGCATGCAGGCGGCCGGTGGACGGATAACGGGACGTAAGCGTGCAGCATGAAGTGGGTCAATGCACTTGTCCGTCTGCCCGTCCGCCGGCTCGGGGCGCGGCCTGTATGTAGCCCTTCGGGTCCGACACAAAGACAGAGCGGTCGGACAATGCCGCGCCGCGCTGAAAAAACAAAATGGGTCCGTTGGCCGGCCCGAAGGCGCCGCCGACGACGACGACGCATTCTTTCTCAACTTGCACTTTTAATTTGGCCCGGGCTAATGGCGAGAGCGGCTGGGGGCTGCTGCCGCTATACAGCCGAGTGCAGCGCAACAGCCGCGTTGCGGCACCCCGCATCACTGACACTAAATCAGAGCCGGGGCGGCCGGGGCGCGGCCGTGGCCTTGAGGGCGGCAAACAAAGCGGTTCATTATACTCGCCCGCGCCACCCCGGCCCCCTGCCGACCCGAAGGCAGGCCACCCGCCGAGCTGCGGTGCGCGGAGCAACAAGCATTTGCCTGACTGCCCGACGTTTTCACATCAAACGCCACATACACAAAGTACACAAATAAAAAATATTTTCTTTGCTACCCCTTGAATTGCTTCTATGACCGTCTTATCTCACTGCGCTAAACTCAAACTGACAGGACACAAGAAAAGAAGACTGCATGCTTCTACTCTTCTTGATGTTTTGATGTAGCAAATTCACCACCCTTTAAGCCACACAATTTATTTTTATTTTTTTTTTAAATGTCACAGATTGGCCTGATGCGTCAGGGGATTCTGCTCGCCGAAGACCGGCCGGACCGGCTCCTGGCGCGATACGCCTGCCAGACCATGGAGGAGGTGTTCCTCAAGCTCAGCCTGCGTCAGCAGCGCGCCCTCGTGCAGGCGCAGGCGGCCGCCCCGGTCACCGTCGGCGCGTTGCCTGTCCCGGACAGCCCGGATGCGGCGCGGGAGGACGCGCCGGAACCTGTCGTGGACAGCAAGGACGTCCTGACCGTCGTGGACGACCCCAGCCTATTGCAGTGCAAACCCGTCTACCTCCAGAACCAAAACAACACCTGGGCGTGTCTATGGAAGAACTTCACCTACATGAAGAGGAACCCGGTGTAAGTACTTTACCATGGGGTCGACCCTTTCCCGGACGCAGGCCGCTCACGCTCTCCCCGCTCGCAGGCCCGTGATCTTCGTCATCATCCTGCCCATCATCCAGTGCGGGCTGTTCGGCATGACGGTGGGCCGCGACCCCGACGACCTCCGCCTGGCCGTGGTCAACGACGACGTCCAGTGCTTCCCGGCCATGGGTGGAGCCGTCGAGGGCTCCGTCGGCTTCCCGGGCTACCCGGCCAACTGCACCACCAAGACGCTGCGCCACCTCAGCTGCCGCATGCTGGACCTCATCGACGACGACCGGATTTCAATCGTACGTAGACGACGACACGAGTCTGTAGTGACTTTACCGAGAACGCGCGAACGCTGACTGCCTCGTACCGTCCGTCATCCAGGAGCAGTTCTCCAGCGTCCCGCTGGCGTTAGAGGCGGTGCGCGCGGGCAAGGCGTGGGGTGCGCTCCACTTCCCGGCCAACTACTCCCGCTTCCTGGCCGCCCGGCACGTCTGGGGCCGCTACGCCTCGGACAAGGCCCTGAACCACAGCGAGATCAGCGTTTGGATGGACATGTCGAGTGAGTAGCCCTGGCCGCGCCGCCGCGCCTGCCCACGACTGACTGGGCCCCGAGAGTGACTGACGCCTTGTTGTCCTCTGCAGATCAGTACATCGGGCACATGCTGCAAGCCTCGCTGTCGCTGTCCGTGCTGCGCTTCACGCGCGACATCCAGGAGGGCTGCCACTGGAACACGCGGGCGACGCCCATCCCCGTGTCCATCATGGAGCCCGTGTACGGGCAACTGGAGCCGAGCTTCCAGGACTTCTGCCTACCGGGCATGATTGTGACGTGAGTTCAAAAAGGTCACCGGGTCGACAAGCTTGTCGGTTGTCCCGCCCGGCGCCCCACCCACCACGCTCATCATGCATGTTGCAGTACGGTGTTCTTCATGGCGCTGTTGGTCACGGTGGGCTCCATCCTGGAGGAGAAGAGGGACGGCCTCATGGCTCGCAGCCTCTCCGCGGGCGTCACGGTGCACGAGGTCCTGGCGTCTCACGTCATCGTCCAGATGATCCTCATGGTCATCTCCATGATCATCGTGCTAGTCATGCTGCTGTGCGTCTTCCAGCTCACCAACCAGGGCCCCCTCTTCTGGGTCATCGCGCTCTGCTTCCTCCAGGGCTTGTGCGGCATGAGCCTAGGTAAGCCCCGGCACCACGATCAGCACGTAGGGAAAGCCCATCTACTCAGCACAGGATGACACGCATGACGCGCCCTTTCCGTCGCAGGTTTCTTTATCTCGTGTCTCTGCGATTCTGACATGGCCGCCACATACATGGGCGTCGGTGCCTTCTTCCCGCTCATCTTCCTCAGCGGTGAGTACCCGCTCCGTGCCCTCCTGATCGTCACCCTCCTGCTCGCCCTCCCCAACGTGTCACCTTTCTCTCTTCCGCAGGCATGCTGTGGCCCGTGGAGGGCATGCACGTCCTGCTCCGCTCGGTGGGCTGGGCGTTGCCGCTCACGCTCGCCACCTCCTCGCTGAGGAGCATCATGGGCCGGGGGTGGAGCATCGCACAGCCCGCCGTGTACCTTGGCTTTGTCTCCACCGCCGTCTGGATAGGCATCTTCATGTGTATCACGCTCATCACCATCCGGGTACAGAAGAGGATCTCGTGATTGAGGCAAAAGTATTAGGGTTGGGTGGTGTCGTCCCTCAAAACTCCCCGTGGACCGGTAGGGGCAGTCCAATGGACAAAGATACTCCCAATTACTCTTTGAAGGCACACTTCAAAAACAACCCGAACATGAGATGAGCATAGAGATAATTAAATTGATAGTGAATTACGACAGGCTTTGACTCTTTTTGCCATCTTTGGAGCAACCTGTAAAATTAATCACTAATAGATACTACATGAAAGAAACTGTGATTTTTTTCTTTCAATACATATCTTTTTTTAATTCTAGTCCTCTTATTTTGTGATTAGTTGTAGATGTTTTATTTGCTCATTAATTGTAAGTTAGCTATCATTCTGATTATCAAACTAAGAGATAAAGTATGACAAGAAGTCACTGTAAATACTTCCAGCAACCAAACAAGAACAAGAATTTCATATTTTGCTTGTTGTTACAATAAAGTTTGTGTACAACTTAACAGGTTTCCTATACTTCTTTACTGTGCCTGGAGCAAGGATAAGATAATTTTTTAGATGAACAAAAGTAGAGGTGAAAGTAAAGTCTCTCTTTATTTTCTTGAGGGTGCCACAAAAAGAAAATATCATATGCATTTGTATGATGACAAGAAGTCCACCACCATTACTTCTCAAATTTTTAGATCCACGAAGAACAATCTGCTGTGGAACTGTGTTCTGGAACATTACACAATACACACTCAGCTCACACGTGCCATCATTCAAACATAACTTTTAATCAATTTTTAGAAGTACTGTACTCCAGGGGTCATGGATAACGACAGCACTGGTCAGTGCGAGAGAGACAGACTCTTGGGTGACCCACAAGAGTGGGAGAGCCCGAATGACAACAAAGTGGCACGCGGTCCGGCTAGCCGGGATCCACGCAGTACTCCATATATTCAGTTCTTTAAAACCAAATCAAATTGGGTAAAAAT